TGCAGGCTTGCAGCCAGACTCTCTTTGATGTTTAAACAGGGTTTTTCATTCACAACCAAAACATAAACATTTCTAATCAATCTTTTCTCTATAGCGTCAGATTTCCAGTCCGGAAAGCTTCCCCAGCCGACCGTCACCGCCTCAGGCATTCTACGTTCAATACTCCAATGTGTCTAATGCTCAGTTTGGAAACAACAACAAAATGTACATTTACTCCTCTGGCTCCTCTGAGAGGAAGAGGCACCCAACAGCGCCATCTATTGTTAGCTCCACACAACGCTGAGTTGACTTTCTTTGTCTGGAGTTTCTGGAACTATTTTTATTTTCCTTTTCCTATTTGACCCTTTTTATATCAGTTATTTATTTTTTTATTTTTTATTTTTTGCATGAATGTATTGACGGCCTTTTCAGAGAGCCTTCTGTCAGCTTTTGCTTCTGCTTCCTTTGTTTGGAATTTTGTTTAACCAGCAAGAAAAAAAAATAATCTCCCGTCCAGCATTTTGCACATTCAGCATCATAAAAACAAGCCAAGACTGCTGTTTTTTTTTCTTCACCAAATGTGGTCAGAAAATATCTATAGTAACAGAGGCCAGCATGCCTAAAGATGCCAGAGCTTGCCTTCACTACCAGCTGACTATGATTTAAAAAAGTAAGCGCCTGTTTTGACACTTTTCAGAATTTACATTTAGTGAAAGATAACATAAGCAGTAGATTTCTTCCCATTTTAGTTCATTATTACTGCAAAAATACACATTTCTGAGGAAAATATTATCCTACACTATGTAATTTAAAGGTACAGATGCTATTTTTGGAATGCATTGCATAATGTTGCTTTTTAATTTTGGAACTGCCGGATACAGTTCCAGTTTTTATGAAGTGTTTGATAATGTGCAGAATTTCTAATCTGTTATGTTCAGATATGATGTTGATCTCTTTTTCTTTTCTATAAACTTGTACAGAAGAAGCAATGCTAAGTTTGCTTTTAAAATCAAAATGTCAAAACACTGTAGCTTCAGTGAAGTGATGCAGCAAGTGTATGTAAAATATTTTTATGGTACATTGTTAAAGGTGATGTTCTCTTCTAAAATTTTGGGAGTTTTCAGCTTTGTATAAAAGGGATTTTTTTTGTGTGTGTGGAAGTAAAACTTTTTAGATCAAAGTTACAATTGAGAAAAAATATCACAGTAATGTCCCATTGCATAGGTTAATGTAACCACATCCTTTATTAAGATGCTAAAAGTGAACAACTGAAATCAGGTCTCGCATCTTATAAAATAAGGAGTTTACTGTGATTCATAAAATGCAATAAAATTGTGTTTAGATGTGTTTTAATGTACTTACTTTTGTTTGTTTAACGTATGGTGGTCCATCTGGAAAGGATCACATAACTTGTATTTCATGCCAGAATGTGAAGACTCCTCAACTTGATGCGACATATTTTATATGCCATCACTTAATCAGAATATTTCTAAACATTTTCTTCAATAACAATTCGCCTCTATTCTATGAGTTATGAAGGTTTTTCATTTAGAGCCAAAAAAAACTCTCCACAGCTCAAAACAATAAATGGGGATATTGTTAATGCAGAGATGAGAGCTTTGAATCCTTTGAATATGCAACTTCATGAAACAAAAAACTAAATAAAAAATCTTCAAAGTTTTGAAAGTGAGATTTTTATGAAAGAGCTCAATTTGAAAGAGCTTTTATAAAATGAGCCTTTCCCACTTGTTTTTAAAAATAGGTGTTATGTTTGCTAAATCAAAGCAGCGCAGGATTTTTTTTATTATTTAATATATAATCTATTTTTTTCTTTGGATTCTTTAAAGAAATGTTCACTAATGAGGTGCAAACAAACCTTTTAATACTAACCCAACTTTAACTTTTGAATCCATGAGTTAACATTTTTGCTTCCTTTTTAATTTTCTTCACTCTAACAGGGTTTTCACTTAAATTGAACCGGCTCCATGTTCCATTATACTAAGAAAATAGTTGACATATGATTTATCATGGTCTCTTCATGTATAAATGGTGGCATTTTAACAGTATGTGTTGAATTGAGGAGAACTACATCTAAAGCAAATAATGCTCAGCAGAGAGTCGATAAAAAGAGGATCAAAAGTATCACAGACACAAAATGAGGTTCCTAATGAAGTAAACGTATCAATACAGTTTTCCTGTGTTTGATTTTCTTCTCTTCACATAATGTCGTTTTTGCACTCCAAACACGTATCTGAAAAATGCTAACACAGCCCTCTGCTGAGTCCCAGGAAGTTGACACAAATCACTTGTGATGGTCCAGCATGAACCCAGCAAGTTTCTGGCACTGGTTTCCATCTCCGCAGCCAATCGTCCATCTGCCACCGGATCCACTGCAGAGAAGATGCAGAGCGAGGCCTCTGTGCATCAGCAGGAACGACAAAACTCAGAAATGGATGTCTGAGTGTTTTGGGATTACAAAAAAAAAAAAGTTTCACTTTCAAAAACTGGAATAGATTTTGATATCATACTGGTACCTCCTCATGTTATACAAGGATGGACTAAAAATGAACAGATATAAATCTAATTTAAGAAAAAATCTAAAACTAAGCTGCAGCTAGAGATATATACCACCCTAAATAATATTGTGTAATCAGCATAGATTTTGCCTTCCAAACATGGATATCTAATCTTCTTTGTTTTATGTCTCATATAAGTATGGAAGCATCATTCTAGGACTTTTTTTTTTTTTTACATTTTTGTTGTCTATTTTTGCTGTTTTGTTTTATTTTCTCTCTCTCTTGAGGACCATGTATTGACTTCCATTAATTTTCAGTCATTTTCAACCCTTTCTATGCCCTAACCCTAAAACTAACCCTAAACCTAACCATTACCAATGCATACCTCACCCTAATCGTAACCCAACTGACACCTTAGCCCTAAACATAACCATTTAGCAAAATGGCTTGTAGGGACCGGCAAAATGTCCTCACTTTGCAACAACTGGTCCTCAATTTGATGGTGAAATTGGAAAAATGGTCCTCAATCTAAGGGCTAGACAGGTACACACACACAAACACACACACAAAACAAAATCTATTTCTTTCAGTTTAAATAGAGAAAATCAGCAAAAATTGAGAATATTGTTTGGAACAACATAGTTAAGTTAAGTATGGCTGACATTTCCTGTTTTCTGCTACATTGTCAATATTGTAAAAAGCAAAAGGCAACATGTAAAAATAATAAAATAAATAAAGTTTCTAACTTTTCTGTTGGTCATTGCCGCATATTGCAGGAAATGTACGGACAGGAAACATTTGGTATATTTTCCATCAAAACTTAGCCTCCAAAGGTTAATTACTGTGCAAATAAAAAATCAAAAGTATTAAGCACCCAATGGATAGTTAGACAGTTAAAATGATGCAAAGCTTTAAATATAATAATCTTTCTTGCTGAAAAGCAGATAATAAAGGCCTCAATAGGTTTAGGAAAAAAACAAACAAACCCTAACCTGATGGGGGAAACAAGTCCCTCAGGTAGCACAATAAAACAAAACCCAAAGTTTAGGTGGACGGTGGAGCGGCCATGCAGAAACCTTCAAGGCTGAAAGCAAGGAGGCAGAAAGCTCACAGTGCATGGAAAATGACAATCAGTTAAATAGTTAGGTTATTAATATTTGCCTATGATCCTTACCATGTGTATTAAATTTTGTTTCTTTGGGTCTTAGTACAGCTGTTTCTGTTTTAATTAGTCTTCTCCTTTTAATTTCCTGCTTCCATTCTACCCAGCTGTTCCAAATTATCACCTGCATCCAATGTCATTCTCCACTCTTCCCTCAGTATTGAAGTTGATCTTTCTTCTGTTACTTTCTTTCTGTATGGCTGTTCTTCTTTTCCTCCTGGTTTCTGCCTGTGTTTCTACTTCCTGTGTTACATTTAGTTCTTCTGTTTCTTTTTTTCACACTTTATCATTAAACTCTTACTATCCTTACCCCATGACCCTGTCTATGCTTTAGTCTTTTTCAAAACACAAACTTTATGAAATTCTCCTCCTAAATATCACTAAGGCTCCTCAGTCTGACCGTAGACTGAGCCATATCAGTACTTGCAGACATTATGCCAGTTTTTAAAATACTTTATATATGAAAATCTGAAGAATGCTGGGATTGTTGTGGCGAAATTTTGGTTGTGGCCGGTGTCTCGGAAGCATCTTGCTAACCATTTAGCAGCTTTAGTGCTTAGTGCTAGTAGGTTCCCAATGGGAAATTCCATTGGGACCAAGTAGCGTTAAATTGGTGACTTAGAAACAACACTGTCAAGGAACGCTATGGACAGCGGAAACATGCAAGAGGAGGAGAGTTCTGTGTCGGAGGTCGTGGATGAGTCTCCTCTGTCATACATTTTTATTCAGAGGAGGAAAGCGGGGAAGAAATTGTTGCTGAAGAGGACGCCAGGGCGGCAGAAGCTTGGTTTGGTGTAGAAGGCTTACAGCCGTACATGTTTGAGCCCTTGCCTCGCAACGCTGCCAGTTCTGTTAGCTCTACGCCTGCTGAAGACACAGGCGTCCATCCCTGTGAACACTGGGATGGAACTCAATGGGAAAGTAAATGATTCTTATTTCTTATTATATTAGCTGCGTAATACAAATCAAGATACTATGACTGAAAAAATTTGATTGACAGATGACCGTTGATATATGATTGGCCGAAATTAGGTGTACAAGCTGACGTATAACTAACTGGCCTGCATAAGATAATGAAAAAAAAACCACGAACCTTTGGACAGGATTTTTTTAAAAATAGAAATTTTCTAAATTCTGGGACAATATGGTCTGATAAAGAATACGTTTATATACCTTTTTAGGCCAGAATGATTTGAAATTTAAATATGATTTCCCTTCGACTTTAGATTGTCTCATATAAAATACTTTTATAATCATACCAAGCACTCCAGGAGTTTACACACACACACACACACACACACTCAGAAACGGATACACAGATCAGTAGGAAATGTATGGCAAAGTTAATTTGAGAAGCTAAAACCCTAAATGTTCAGATTTTAAATTTCCGATTACAAGAACTATTTCAGTAAATTCAGAATAGCTGTTCTCAGGTTTGTGGTTGGTGTAGATTTTAGACAGCAAAATCTAAAGTCACCAATTTATGCATGGAACCTCATACAAAGTAATTGTTTCACCTGAAAAAAAAAAAAAAAAAACATTCTCAGGGTACCTTTAATTAGGGGATGGATTGATGCAATAATTGGCAATAACATATTTCCATATGTGGCTGTTAAGTTGACCTTCCCCTTTAGAGCTTTAAATGTTTTTGATAAAACAAAAGTATAAACAGATTTTATCAGCAGCCATAAAAAGGCAGAAGGAGATGAACGTTTTTAATTTATTGCCAACAAACATGAGCTACATTTGGTTTTTCATGCATTAAAGAGATTACACCAGATTGAAGCAATCACATAGAGACACAATTAGCCTAAATAAATTACAAGCCACAAGAGAGCTGTGGTCACAGACATTACATTCAAGACTGGTGCAAAGTTAAATCACTCACTCTTCTAATACACATCATATGCAGTCCAATGTGGATCCTAATAACACAGAATAAATCCAGCCATCATTGCTTCCTCCTTTATGCTGTCAGCTCTAGGAAATAAGCCAACCTTTATTTAAAACATCCTCCAGCCTAAATGAACCCTACAATGGGAACACCAGAAACCCAGAAAATGTGGAGTACTTCCACCCTCCCATCAGGTTCCCCCTCTCCAGTTTAAGGTAAGCCTTGTCCCCTCGCTCCATTAACACCAGCCCTGCATTTGTGGCTGCTTCCCTCGTCACATCCTGATCACCTGCAAACGCTGAGATCACCGGCCAGCCGTTAAGGACCAAGCTCACCTAGAAAGACAGGATGGGAGGAAGACGGTTAGATAGAAACCTTTATCTCCAACGCTAGATTAGATAAAATAAAACACTCTTTGGCAGAAATAACTAAAATCTGAAGACTCAGCTATGAATAAACAGCTTTTTTCATGTAAAATTTCCTTCTAAATCCATTATTCTTACTTGTATTGTTTGCCTGTTGTAAACTTTAACCACATGAAAGCTGAAGCTGTAGACTCCTTTTCTGGGGGCCACAAAGATGCTTGTTGCTGGGTCAAAATGGCTGCCGACATTCACTAGTATCTATGGGAGGGGAGAAGGGGAGTTTGCAGGGTTAGAAAAATCAATTAAAAAAATATCTAACATCTTTGTAAAATAATGCATATTTTTTCAGGATTTCTTTGTCTTCAGATCAACAGTTTAGTATGTTTCCTGAATGTTTTGATCTAGTAATACTAAAGAGAAATGGACAAAAAGCACCAGAGGAAAAAACTCAAATAAGATGAAAAACTAGAATTACCCAGATGGCATGACTTAACTAAAAGGGATACATTTTCACTTTAAATAAACCAAACAAGAATGAGTTGTTAAAAAATGTCACTATGATGAGGTCAGATTTTTAATATTGTAATTATTTTTTTTTTCATGATCACCATAGAAACATCAATCCAAGATGCATTGTTTTGTGGGTATTGATCTTGGGTAAGAATAGCTTTGCCCCAAGCTGTAAATGCACACAGCAGTTAAAAATATTTATTAGAAAATCTTATTTAAAATAAATAAAGAGGACTTTTTTTCCCCAAAACAATAAAAAAAAAATCAATCCACTGGTCTTTCTTTTGAAGTTTGAAGACATTTTTCCTCCCATCCAGGAAGCTTTTTTAAATCAAAATGTCAGAAATATCATTGAGATTGAGGCTTTACAGAGTGGACCAAAAACAAAGCCTTGTTTTGGCTTAGAAAACATGAAAATTGAATCGGACGAACAGGTCTGCCGTTCGGGACAAGGGTCGTTTGGTTTCTTTTGTTAGACTGCAATACCCCATACCTGTCTATGTCTCTGAAAAAGGGGTAATTAAAGGGAATCGTTGGCCTGGCTGAACAGGCAAGGTCTTCTGTTCCCCTGTAAGGGGATGGAGGTTGCGATGTTAGGAGGAAGGAATCAACTCAATTGCTCTATTGTAGGTTTTTGAAAGCTGAAATCTAAGTCTATTTAACTTTTTTGTTTACTTTTTTGGAATGACTATGACCTGGATGATTGAGAATCTTTACCACCAAAACTTTTTTTATTAATATATACTTTGATAGAGTGCATGATTTTTTAATTGCTTTTACTTTCGTAGTTTTTTTTTTAATTTCATCTTGAATTACCCAGAGATTTATTAACTTGTCAGCAAATGTTTGATTATAATGATAAACAGCTTCTATTGAAGGCTATCACCAACAAATCTAGCTTTCCCTGGTTATTATACCGGACCTTCAGATCAGAGAATACCCACAGAGAATAATTATCAAATATCAGAGCAAACAAAGAAATTAGCTTTAAGCACACATTTTAGGGTCTGTTCTCAAAATGTTATACAATCAATTAATTCATTGTATTTTAAGCTGTGTAATTGTAAGTTTTTTTTATGCAATTAGAAGGATTATTTTTCCTGGCATGATGTCCACCACTCCTCCATCAAAATAAAGATATTTTTAAGCTGTAAATTTAGGTCAGAGGTAAAAGCTCATGTCCATGATTTAGCTTAATGCTGCTAACTAACCCCAGAACAGGTTAAATACATCTACCACAGCCTAAAGCAGAACAAAAAAAAAAAAAAAAACACACACAAATACTTATAATACACTCAAAAACACTTAGGAAAATGTAGGGAAAAGACTTTATAATAGAAGGTTAGTTTGTTATTGTGGTTTTCTTAATTGTAGTTAAGATGGCATTGATACTGATATAACTTTCTCCACTGTGAGCTCAATAAAGCCAGCCTATCAGTCAATATAATTTGGGTTAGTATTTTCACTGACAAGAAATGATAACTCTATCTATTCTTAAACTATGTTGTATCAATCAGGCTTTTCTTTTGCATTCAATTATTTAAAGTAGCAACATAAAAATGTGTTGTTTTTGTCCCTTTTTTTTTTTTTTTAGGTCTGTTTATATATTGTATTATAATGGAGTAACATGAGTGTATACCCCAATGAAATATGCTTCCTTCTTCATGTTGTCATCTTTAAATCATTCTTTCATCCTGTTTTTTTTATCCAGTGTTTTTCTTCTTTTTTTTAGGTAACTCCTTAACTTCCTCCTGTGTTATTTTCCTGTGAACTTGTTTTGTGGGTTAGGGCTCATTGTTAAGCTTTAGTCATTATTCTCAGTCTATTTCTCGGTTCTTGTTTTCTATTTCTGTTTTTAATAGCTCTTTTAAAATCTAACTTCCTATTTATTTTGGTAATCCATATACCTTTTCGACTTATGGTCTGATTATTTACTGTTAGTCTTGTTTTAGCTGTTTTTCACCTCTCTTACCTTCCCTTTTTGGTGACATCTAATTTATTTTGTACTCCATTTGTGATTTCACTAAATATAATTTCTTTTTATAAGGCTTTCCTTTTCGCTCATCGCTCTGCCTCAGTTGTTCACCATCTAGTAATCAGTCATGCGTGTTATCAAACCCCTTTACTTGAACTTCTTTGTTTCAGTCATGCTTGTTGGATTTTCCTGTTTCTATTTGTTACTCCATTCATGTTGCTGTGGAAGTATCAATTATATTTAAAAGTGCTTAAACGTATTTAAAGACCATATGAAAAAAAAACAGTAAAGCTGCATTCTCAGCCTGTGGGGTCAAAGTCTACATAAGCTAATTAATGGTTCAGAATGTGAATATCTGGAATTAGGTTATCTTAAATCAACTCTATCACATTAAAAAGCTTTTCTTTCTTTTTTTTTTACCCTATCCAAAATAGTTTTGGATATTTCAGAGCTATTTTCTATATGTATGCTGCTATATGTTTAGGCTGATGGATCACATAGGGACCACTTTTCCTCATTCTGCCTTCTCTATTCTCCAATTCGGCAGTATTTGTTAAGTTCCACTGATAACGTTATGCTCTCTCTAATTTTTTTATTCACCATAGTAGCTTCATCTGGTCTATTCCTGTTCAGCTGTGACTCCATCCTGAAAAGTAACATCAGCTGTGCTGCTGCCATCAACACCTTCATTTATAGATGTTGGAACTTGGTCTGTTTTTCAGTGTAGTCCTGTTTCTCTTACTGTGACTACCTGTATGTGCTCTCTTTCATCCTCTGACACAGGAGTTATCTTGGAGCTTGTATGCCTAGTTGTGTCTTTACTGGACAGTGCCACGGATGGAGCTTGTTAACATTTATCATTTTTATCTCTGCTTCTTTTTATGTTTTTGCCTGCTTCTTTCTCCTTGAACCCTAGTTGGCCTCAGCAGATTGCCGCTCACACTGAGCCTGGCTCTGCTCGAGGTTTCCTCTAAAAGGCAGTTTTGCTCTCCACTGTCACTACATGCATTCTTGGTGTGAGGGATTGCTAAAGAGTCAACAAAAAAATGCAAGCAAAAATCATTGCCAAAAGCTCATCCAGGAGGACCTTAAAGCTACAGTGTGTAACTTTTAGTGACATCTAGCGGTCAGACTGCAGACTGCAGCAACATGAACATCTCCCCCCCACCGCTTCTCCCCCCCAACAGTACGGCGAGCGT